ACCGAGGCAGTATGACCTCTGAAACGTTGGTTAACATCGACCATACTACAGAGCGCAACAACCCAGAAGACTGAAATCTTCACAAAGTATAATGCAGGCATTATTTCTAACTCTAGTTCAAGGGTTATCAATCCGTGGCTCGCAGGTTGCATGTAGATCGTCGACGTGTTTTTTGGTGGCACGCGACATTTTTGTAACACTGCGTAATGCTGTACGATTTAAAATATTCCACCTGACATCTCCAAATACGCTTTGTGAATGTGAATATTCGGTAGTACCTACAGCTGTGAGGAACTTAACTAAGCAGCTTAATGAAGAAAGTCAAAATGCTAAGGAGTTTCGCAGACGAGCATGCGAATTGCAACAAAATAAACTAAAACCTGATACAGCCTGGGGCGCAGAAAATGCTAGTCAGTGGCTGATTCAGGTGTTACAGAACTGAAGCTGCATCAAGAGCCTTCGTCTTTCGTCACTCGTTTCTAGGGCACAGGTAGGCAATGAACGTCTGCAACGATCTACCAATTACTTTACTAGTGGCCTTGGGAGCTTTGTCTTTGTGTGAATATTGCGCTATATGGTTGCCTGACAACAGAACGCGCATCGCACAGAAACAAAACATCTGACCTTGAGATGTACGATTGCCACATTTACTTCAATAAACAAAGCTTTCCTAACTATGACACACAATTTAATAACAAACCTGGAGTTATTTCTTCAAGATAAACATTCTTCTCTGTTTAACGTTCTCAGGTTCGCTCCCTGGGCTGTCTATGTGGAATTTGCGTTGGACAAAGTGGCTTTTCTCTGAGTCCTTCGGTTTTCCCCTGTCACTATGATTCCACCGCTGCTCCGAATTCTCACTCATGTATCATCTGCGACCTGGACACTAGGCCCGCTAATTGCCGTTCTGCCCTATTAGAAAGACAAGCAAAAAGGGGCACACAAAGCATTTGAATTGGGAAAACGGTCAATGTTTGTACCGAAGCTCATTTGTTTTTAAAAGCTACGAACCACACATGTACAGACGATTGATAAACATGTCATCGTTCTGAAATTGAAATTTATCAAATGTGTACTTATGATATGGAAACCAATCGAAAAACAAAGGTTGATAAAACGTCCTTCATTTTATCTAAATTCTGTTATTTACACGAAGACTAACGAAACTCGTCACTTGATGCGATACTAAGCCATTTCAATCCAGATTATGCTGTTTCAATAAATATCCACAAAATTTACTTTACTAAAATCCTCTTATTCCCTTATTGGTCTTCCATGTGGATTTTACGTAATTTCACTTTCATCTCAGCAAAGTGGAATAGAAAGTGTTTTGATGACCGAAAAATGCTACAGCTAAACAGAACAGAGTTTATACAGGAGTCAATTAGCTTGTAACAACCTACTGTTACGTTCTATAATCGCATTAACGGTATTAAAACTCACAGAAATAGAATGCGACAAAACAAAATCAAATTTTAACATTAACCAGGTACCGTCCAATTACGAGCAGCAAGGTATTTCAGCGCCATTTCCTTTAATTATTTTCGGACCTTTGAAATTTTTCCCAACAGGATGCATGAATATAATATTAAATTCATTTCGAAAATTTCAGCAACTTAAACCTTATTTTGAGAAAAAGAAACCGAACAAAGAAAAACGGACGCTTTGTGGACAGAAGTGGTTAATTACGGACACGCAAAAACGTGCATAAGAACCATGAGGCACAGATGTGTTTAATCGAGAGATCGGAGACATTAACCGATATTTAAAAAACAGATCGGACCTCAAACATTAATCGCTAAGCTTACTATTAAT